TCTCTGTCAAATAAATAAATAAAATCTTAAAAAAATATATATATATATATATATATCTTTATAATAACCATCAGTACTAAAATGACGAGATCCTTGTGGCAAGATACAAAATATGTGGAAAGCAAACCTTTGTAGGAAGCCACCCCAACCATCCCTCTGATGAAGCCAAGAGAATGTAGTTCAAACAAGGAAATCATAAGAGGTGTCAATGTATATGGATATCAGTCTTAACCATTGCATCTGACGCAATGCCATCCATGCCTCACAAGAGCCCAGCGCAATCCTCAGCCCCCACACACTGTCACCCACATGTCTGCTGGCTGTGACCTGGGAGGAAGACAAGGGCAGTGACACAGGGAACAGATCTACCAGCCGATAGTGCTTTGAAGCAGCAACAGCTCTGAGTTTTGCTTCCTGCCACACTTAAGAAAGAGTTACAAGTCACAGATTTCAAAATATTAGTCCAATCTCAGCTCTTTCAGACGATGAGAAGCCAGCACTGCCTACTCCCACAGCTACTCGCTGGTGAGAGGCATGGACGGCAACTCCATCGTTAACATGGCATGGTTATTCTAGAACTATGACCCAGGAGTTATTTTTTGGTGTGTGTGTCTCTCTAGGTGTTCCACTGGATTCTCTGTCTTCAAAAACACTAGCTCTGTATGCCAAAACATGTCATTCCTCTTTGGTCACACTCATTAAATTGTCCAATTCCTCTACGAGGTTGGGATCCGATAAAAACAAATTCAAAAGAATTTTAATAGGAATAACATCTTTTGGCTTTTTTTGTTGTGGTTTGTTTTTTCTTAAGTAGGCTCCATACCCAGCATGGTTGAACTCATAAACCTGAGATCGAGTCACATGCTCCACCGACTGAACCACCACCCAGGTGCCCCAATAACATCTTTTATTTTATTTATTTTTTTAAAGATGTCTTATTTATTTATTTGAGAGAGAGAAAGCATGAGAGAGAGAGCACGGGTGAGGGGCAGGGGGAGAAGCAGGCTTCCCACTGAGCAAGGAGACCGATGCAGGACTCCGTCCCAGGACCCTGGGATCATGACCTGAGCTGAAGGCAGACGCTTAACCAACTGAGCCACCCAGGCACCCAATAACATCTTTTATATTTTAAAAAAATGCATTGTAAGTGCCAAAAGACTAAATAGATAAAATCAACTCTCATATAAAAACTCACTTGTACCCTAATGCTATTAGGGGAAAGAAAGGAAACTCTAGGACAAAGACACTGTTGTCATTTTTAATTTATTCATTCTGTTTTATCCAAACTGTACCACAGGGTCTGAGAAAAATGCACTGTTCTTAGATTAGGGAAAATCAACATTAATTTTGCCTTTATATTTTTTTATGTTACTGGGTCTAAACATTTTCCTGCCTATGTTCATCTCAAAGGTCAAAATATTGCCCATAATCTGAGTGTTGTAAAATAATTTAGAGTGATACATTTATTCCAGACAAATTGACATGGAAAAATGTCAAATGAAAAAGGCATTATGTTGCGACGCCTGGATGGCTCAGTTGGTTAAGGGTCTGCCTTCGGCTCAGGTCATGATCCCAGGGTCCTGGGATTGAGTCCCGCATCTGGCTCCTTGCTCAGTGGGGAACCGGCTTCTCCCTCTCCCACTCCCCCTGTTTGTGTTC